ACAGAAATCAAGAAAAAAAAATTTAAGAAATCAAGTTACCTTCTATAAAATTCTATTTAGCGTCTCTTGTATGGATCAAAACAATTGGCTGCCTTTGACTCTCTCACACTGTCTGTTGTCTGTCTCTCTTCAGTACTGGGGAAAAACCTCAGGGCCTCACGCATGCTAGACAAACACTTTGCCACTGAGCTGCCTCTAGATTTGCTCTTTGGTAGGGCACGTGGTGCCCTGTTCACTGTGGACCCCTCTTCTGTACCATGCCAGTCACCTGCCTGGCCCTCATAAGCACCAGACTGCTGCGCTCAGTCTCATTTTGTGATCTTTGACTCAGTGGCTTGGATTCCAGCAGATGGCATGTGGTATAGGGGATCAATTTTATTATATCCATATGGCTTTGAAAGGGCACATGTGTGTCCCTGTGTTTCAAGATCAGTGACTGGGTCATCCCAGTACTCCATAGATGCAGCCCTGAACTGGGCCTCTGTGACCCCAGTCATGCCCCTGAGACTTGGGGGGTGCCCCCACCACACTGATTAGGAAGAGCCGAGGGAAATTGCTTCGTGGCCCTTTAGGATCTGCTGAATAGCACCTTTCCCCTGAGCGCTCTCTGGGCCAAGGAGCCTGGCAGGGTGCCCATCTCTGAAAGACGAGGCCCGCAAGGAACCAGGCAGGAGGGCACAATCCTCACTGCTCAGGGAGCCCTGGCGCCCTGACACCCAGGCAGGGAGAGGCGGCTGGCCTGCTTCCCTCCTCATGGCCCTCTCCCTGCCACAGATGTTGCAGCCCCAGTTCAAGTCGCACAACACCAATGAGGTGCTGGCGAAGCTGTTCCAGATTGTGCCGGGCGAAAACCCCTACCGCTCCCGCGACCCGCAGCAGTGCCGGCGCTGTGCTGTGGTGGGGAACTCGGGCAACCTTCGAGGATCCGGCTATGGGCAGGACGTGGATGGGCACAACTTCATCATGAGGTGAGTCTGTGCCGGGTGGGACAGCCAGGCCTGGCCCCTGAAAGGGGATTTGACTCCTTAGCCTTGCCTGTCCCAGGCCAAATTGCAAGCTGCCAGAGACACGAAGGAAGGGAGGCCCCCAAGCCTTCAGTGACAAGCCAAGGGCGCCCTGTCAGTGCATGGTGGACAGGGGATAGCATTCCAAATCTGAACTTTGCTGGAGGCCTGCATAAGCTTCCAGGACTCCGAATTTCTTTGGAAAGAGAAAGAAAAGTTTTGAAAACTCCCAGCAGAGCCCCTTCCTACCTGTGTCGTCCTTAGCAGTTGGGCCAGTTGTGAGGCTCCCACACCAGCTGGCATATTTCATGCCAGTGACAGGCAGTTCTTTCTGGCAGGCTCTGGATATCCTGGGTGGGCTGGAAAAGGAGCTGTCCTGGGCTTATCCTGGGCAGTTGCCCTTTTGTTTGTCCTCATAAGGCTTTTAGATGCACCTGTGCCCAGCCCCGAACAAAGGCCAGGAGGGAAGCTGGGGTCCATGCCTGTGATCCCCGTGATGCAGGGAGATAAAGTTTGAGACCTGCCTGGCCAAAAAAAAAAAAAAGGCTAGAGATATAGCTTAGTAGTAGAGCCCTTGCCTAGCATGTGTGAAGCCAGGATTCAGTCCCCAGTACCACAAAAAGAGAGACAAAGGGAGGGGAGAGGGAAAGGTAGAAAGCTGGGAGGGCATTCTGTACAGACAGAGATACCAACAAGAGCACTAAAAGAGAACACAGGGTAGACTCGGCCTCCACAGAGCTGTTCTCTCAGCTCAGATCTTGATGTGACTCGGGACAGGATAGGCCACAGTGGGGATTCCTTACCATCACTCCATGGTAGAAGAAGAACCTTAAGGATAAAGATAATGCCAGTCACAGTGGTGTGGTGCATGCTTGGAATCCCAGCACCCTGCGAGGCTGACAGAAGCCTGGCAAATTCAAGCCCAGCCTGGCAACTTAGCAACTTGGTGAGAAACTGCCTGAAAATAAAAAAGGGCTGGGATGCAGCTCAGTGTGAAGGTCCTAGTACTAGCGCCTCCCACCCCCAGACCAAGTACTAGGGGGAAAAAGATTGTGCCAGGTGTAGTGGTGTGCATGTGTACTCAGGCTGAGGCAAGAGGATGACAAGTTCGAACCCAGGACTAGGGATATAGCTCAAAGGTCAAGGGCTTGTCTAGTTTATGCAAGGGCCAGAGTTCAATACCCAGCACCACACAAATAAAAGAAAAATAGGGAAGAAACTAGAAACACCTGGTTTTCACTAAGCACCTCTTAGGCTGAACATAGGTACAGAATGACCAGGTTTCCCAGGAGGTGGAAGGAGGGGCTTTATCTTAGAAACTGCTGCTGTCTCCATGGCAACACTGAGGCAGTCTCCCGAGGCTTTCCACATTCCTGCAAGACCTTCTTTGAGTTGGGAGACAGTGTTGGGTTTAGGGGAGAGGAGGATACTGGACTTCGCTGAGCACCCCAGAGCCACCTGGGATCATCCCCATCCTCCCCTCTCTGTTTGACACTTCAGACAGGAGGGAGACACTATGGGAGCTGGGAGGGCCTCTTTCCCCCCACAGAGGTTGCTGAGATTGGAGAATAGAGCCACCCTTCCTTCAGTGTAGTTCTAGGGCATTCGGGGAGCCACTGTCAGATGCCTGACCAGGTCCCCTTCACTGAGGGCAGAGGGGGAGTTTGATAGGGCACCCCCGTGGTGCTTGGGAAGTGCCGGTTTCTCTAACCTCAGGAGCCTCAGACACTTAGGACACATGGGTGGTACCTGTGCAGGAGCCAGTTTGAAATGTTTCTTGGAGTGGACTCCAAAGTCACCTGTAGGGTGGAGCACGCCAGATGGGTATTGACTGTCCCTCTGTATAAGCAGTCAGGTGACTATTTATAGGGCTATCTACATCCTTGACCAATGTGAGATGCTGTGGGGAGAGCGACACAAGAGTTACAGTGAGATGGGGCCCTCCAACCACCTCCTCCTCTTTTCCTTTTGAGACAGGGCCTCAATATGTAGTTCAGGCTGCCCTTGACCTCACTATGAAGCCCGTGCTGGCCTCAAACTCTCAGTGGCACACCTGCCTCAGCCTCTTGGGTGCAGGGACAGACGAGTTTCTGGACTCTTGTGATCCCAATCCCGAGATTGAGCTCATCCTCTGCCCCCTGTTCAGGACTTGACGGCTCCAGAATAAATGAGAGCCTCAAAACAAAATCAGTCTGTAGAAGAATGCACCTTCCAGCCAGATGTGGTGCTAAACACCTGTCACCCCAGCGCTCTGGGAGGCTGAGGCAGTAGGATCACAAGTTCCAGCCCAGCGTGGACAGTGACATTCCTTCTCTTTCTTGTGGAGACCATGACACCTGGTCTTCGGCCTCTGCTCCACTCATCCCATACCCTTGCAGGCTGGTGCCTGGGTGTGAGGGCATGGGGGAGACAGGCGGCGCAGCAGGGCCATCCTCAGGGCTGAGAGCCACGGGCTTCCCACGCACAAGCTGGAGAGATTAGAGAGCGCACTGGCTGCTGGGGCGGTGAAAAGGCAGGCAGTGGGTCCCAGAAGCCAGCCTGGCATGGTGCAGCCCTCTGCTCAGCAGGGCTGGTTTAGCTCTTGGCTCTGCGGAGATGAAGTTTGCTTTTTAGGTTCACCAGCAAGAACCAAGAGCCAGCTTCTGCCCAGTCCGAGGTCCCCGATGCAGTTTGCTACCTTTTGCTTGCCTCTTCCTCCTCCTCCTGCGGGAAGCGAGAGACATCCCTGCCAGCACTGACAATGGCTACTGTGCAGGTTCCTCTGCAGTCTCACTGCAGAGCCCAAGGGGACTGGCAGAAGACAGGCCCAGACTGGCTGAGGTGGCTGCAGAACACCTGTGCGTGTGTGGAGCTGCAGCAGTTCCCAGCCTGTACAGCGTTACTCTGGGAGGGTAAAGATACAGGGAGGTGAGATCTCTGCACCCTAAAGGCCGGCAGGCAGGAGGACATTTCTCCTAAGGTTTTGGATGGGGGACAGAAAAATAGCGTCTAGATCCCTGTTCAGGGCATAAAGCCCTTGTAGGTTCTGCAAGGAAGATTCTAGGCATGTGCTAGAACCAGACTAAAACAGTGGTTAAGAACAGAGACAGCCAGTTGCTGTGCCTACTTGTAGTCCTAGCACTCAGGGAGGCTGAGGCAGGAGGATTGCAAATTCAAACCTAGCCTGGGCAATGAATAGCAAGACTGTCTCAAAAAACAAAAAACAACAACAACAACAAAAAAAAAAACTAGGGATGTAGCTCAGTGTAAAGGCCCTGGGTCCAGCCCCATCCAGTACTGGGGTGGGGACCAGACTCTTCAGACTCTACGACTTCTACCCCAGGACCCTCCAGTGCCCCAGGAAGAGAAAGAGAACAGAGAGGCCGGAGACAGATTGACTAGAGGGGTGAAGCATCCCGACGCAGAGACCTAGCCCCCGCCCCCATCACTGGGTGAGGAGGAGGAAGACAGCACAGACACTTGCAGCACAGGAGTGTGCAGCTGCTTCCAGGACTGGAATGTTTGCACTGGTTTTACAGAATTGGTACAACAGCTGAGGTGGAGGTCCTGGAGAACTTGGCTCTCAGTGGAGGGCTGCGTTCTGGTCACCCCTCTGGGTACTCCTGATTCCACAGGCGGTCCTCAGGAGACAGGAAGGCCCTTCATGGCAGAAGATAAGATCAAGAGCTTTGTGTTCAGAGCAGGTTCACCTGCGATTTAAGGTACTCCCCAAAAATGACAGCCTGGGTTATATTTACACAGTATTTTGTGCAGATTGAAAGGACCAGATGCCCTCTTGGTTTCTTTTTTGTTTGTTTGTTTTGAGACAAGGTCTCACTATATAATTCAGATAGGCTTTGAACTCACTATGTAGCCCTTGTAGGCTTTAAACTTGTAGTGATCCTCCTGCCTCAGCCTCTTGAGTGCTGGGATTATAGATGTGCACTTTCATACCTGACATCCTTAACCAATTCTTTGTTGTTTGATTGATTGAATTGCCTATACACATCATCGCATATCTATGCAACCATTTGTATAGGATAAAGGTATAGAAATGGAATTTCTGGGTCATAGCATACATTCACTTGCTTTGGAATGGAATTGATGGGTCATAGTATACATTCATTTACTTTGATTTTTTTGAGGAGCTCTTTCGTGTTGCTCAGGCTGGCCTTCAACTCCTGGGTTCAAACAATTAGCCTACCTCTGCTTCTCAGAACTTTACTGCCATGCCCCCTGGGTTGGCTGCACCAGTAGTGGAGGGACCAACAAGTGGAATGAGGCACCCCTACTGCTGTGCCCTCCCTTTCCTATGTCTAATTACCTCTCTATCACTGCTGACTGCCACTTTGACTTTCTCTCTCTCTCTCTCTCTCTCTCTCTCTCTCTCTCTCTCTCTCTCTCTCTTCTTTGAGACAGGGTCTTGCTATGCAGTTCCAACTGGCCTTGAGCTCACTTTGTAGCCCACACTGGTCTTGAACTTGCAATCATCCTCCTGCCTCAACCTCTCCAGTGCTGGGATTACAGGCATGTGCCACCACGCCTGGCGCCTAAGAATCTTGTATCAGTTTCCATGGCAAATTTTTCTCATGTCATCCTCTTTTCCCTTGCAGGATGAATCAGGCACCAACTGTGGGCTTTGAGCAGGATGTTGGCAGCCGAACTACACACCATTTCATGTACCCTGAGAGTGCCAAGAATCTGCCTGCCAATGTCAGCTTCGTGTTGGTACCCTTCAAAGCCCTGGACCTGCTGTGGATTGCCAGCGCCCTATCCACAGGACAGATTCGATTGTGAGGCTCTTTTTGGGCTGGGAGTGGAATGTGGGCGACAAGAGCACTGTGGGAGGTGTCTCAGGGCGGAACGCAGAGTTCTTCCCGTTGGACATATGGCTGAGGGGGACCAGTGAGGGGGCGTGGTGGGTTAGCAGGGCACAGCTGCTCAGTGCCACTGCCTGCAGGGGGCCATCCAAGGACTAGCATCCAAAAGGCAAGGAAGGGCCCGATGTCGTTGTTCTCTCCACGAGGTGCCTTCCCACTTAGGGCTCTGAGTTCTGAGAGCTTCAGTGCAGCTGTCCCATCACAGCTGGGAAATCCAGTTATCCAAGTTTTTTATATTATTTTACCTTATTTTCATTGATTGATTGGTTGATTGATTAAGATAGGATCTTGCGGGGCTGGGGAGATAGCTCAGTAGAATAAGCACTTGCCTGGCAAGTGCAAGGGCCTGAGTTCAATCCCTGGTTCCACCAAAAAAAAAAAAAAAAGATAGGATCTTGCTATAGAGTCTTAACACACCTTGAACTCACTGTGTAGCCCAGGCTGGCCTTGAACTCACAGCAACAGGCCTCAGCCTTTGAAATTCTGGGATTACAGGCACGCATGTGTCCAGTACCAATTATTTCCTTTTTAGGAGCTTTATCAACATATAATTCACCTACCATACATTGTATACTATTAAAAGTATACAGTCCAATGACTTTTTAACCATATTCCTAGAATGCCCACCAGAGAGTTCAGTGGACTAAAAGTCTTCTTAGGCAGAGCACAGGGACTGGGGTTCCATCCCTGGTGCCCTGAGACAGCAGATTGAGACTAGGCGTAGTAGCAGGCGCCTATAATCCCAGCACTTGGGAGGTTGAAAACAGAACCACTACAAGTCCGATCTGTGTAGTGAGACCCTGTAGACCCTATACTAAATATGTTAAAAAAAAAAAAAACAACGGGCTGTGAGATGGCTCAGTGGTCTAAAGCACCTACTTAGGGGCTGGAGAGATGGCTCAGTGGTCTAAAGCACCTACTTGAAACAAGCTTGGCAAAGC